CCATCTGGGGAGTGAACCAGTGGATGGAAGACCTCTCTCTCTCTGTCTCTACCTCTCTCTGTAACTCTTTCAAATAAATAAATAAATAAATAATGTTCAAATAAATAAAATAAATCTTTTAAAAATAGAAATTATTATAAAATAGTATGGTTTTGGACTAGGCCCCAACTGACTAGGCTAAAAACCAAAATGGATTCACTCATACCAAGCTGAAACTAAGCTTTATTTGACCTTCTGAGAAATCAGGAGAGAAAGATAATAACCAAATGTCCCAAAAGGTAATTTCAGTCACCATGGTAATTTTCCTTTTGCTTTAATTCCTACAAAAAAAAAAAGTAACCTGATACATACAAATCAGTCTTTTTTCAATTTTTCTGTTTCTCTGTCCCTCCCTTAAAAGGAAAGTAATTTGAAATGACCATCCATTTTTTGTTCTGCATTTCTATATTATTTAGCCCTTTTTTGTCTATTTTAAAACCAAACTCCTTTTGCTCAGTTCATTGGAACACTTATTCTATTTTACAAATGAAGTGTTACCCAATTCTAGAACTGCAAATAAAGCCAATTAAGATCTTTAAAATAATTGTTGTCGGTTGCCCCTCTTCCAGGCCAGCTCTCTGCTGTGGCCAGGGAGTGCAGTGGAGGATGGCCCAAGTGCTTGGGCTCTGCACCCACATGGGAGACCAGGAAAAGCACCTGGCTCCTGGCTTTGGATCAGCGCGGTGCGCCGGCCACAGCACGCCGGCCGCGGCGGCCATTGGAGGGTGAACCAACGGCAAAAGGAAGACCTTTCTCTCTCTCTCTCTCTCACTGTCCACTCTGCCTGTCAAAAATAAATAAATAAATAAAAAATTGGTGTAATTTTGTCCTTTGACTTCATTAACCTCTAATAGATTGATCATCGTGCTTTCACAAGTTTATTTCTTTCTTTTTTTTTTTTTTTTTTGACAGGCAGATTTAGACAGTGAGAGAGAGAGAGACACAGAGAGAAATTAGGGAAGTTCCCCTCAAAATTAAAAGTAGAACTTCTTGTATGCATGCGTAGCCTAGTGATTAAGATACCCACATCTCACTTTGAAGTACCTGGATCCTGACTTCAGCTTCCTGCTAATGCAGGTCCCGAGAGGCAGAAAGAAGGGTCTTCCTTTGCCGTTGGTTCACCCCCCAAATGGCCACAGCGGCCGGTGCACTGCGCCAATCCGAAACCAGGAGCCAAGTGCTTATCCTGGTCTCCCATGGGGTGCAGGGCACAAGCACCTGGGCCATCCTCCACTGCACTCCCGGGCCACAGCAGAAAGCTGGACTGGAAGAGGAGCAACCGGGACAGAATCCGGCGCCCCAACCAGGACTAGAACCCGGAGTGCCGGCACCACAGGCGGAGGATTAGCCAAGCGAGCCACGGCACCGGCCACAAGTTTATTATTTCTTATCCCCAAAACCATTTCATCTATCAGTATAATTAGACACAAAAATTCATACTTCAAACAGATTTTATCTGGTCATAATCTGGCTACAAAGACCTTTGCTAAAATTTAATAATGGAGCAAATAGGAGAGCATACAAAGTAGTTTTTATTAGTACCTGGGTTTTGAAGTCAGCAAATGCCTCTGTGTACAGGCTACATGACCTTGAAAAAGTCATTTTAACTCTGAACTCTAAGCTGCTATTTTGTAAAATGGGAGGTGGGGCTGCATAATTATTTCAACTAATGGCTGTAAGAATTAAATCAGATTAAATATGTAACACAGGGAGCACAGAATATGAAACACAGCAAGTGTCTAAACAGAAATTATTATTATATTATTATTCATTTCCTTTGGATATATACCCAAATTTTTAAAAATTTATATTTGAGAGGCAGAGAGACAGAGACAGAATGAGAAACAGAGAGCTTCCATCTGCTGGTTTACTCTCCTAAATGCCCACACTGGCCAGTCAAAGTCAGGAGCTAAGAATGCCATCCAGGTCTCCCACATGAGTGATAGGAACTCAATTACATGAGCCATCACCACTGCCTCTCGGGACCTGCATTAGCAGAAAGCTGAAGACAGGATCCAGGTACTTCAAAGTGAGATGGGGGTATCTTAATCACTAGGCTACGCATGCATACAGGAAGTTCTACTTTTAATTTTGAGGGGAACTTCCCTACTGTCTTCCATAACGACTATACCAGTTTACATTCTCACTAACAACCTACAAGGGTCCCTTTTATTCTCACTTCTTTCCAACATTTGTCATTTCTTGTATTTTTGATAACAGCCATCCTAACAGGTATAAGATGACATCTCATTGTGGCTTTGATTCACATTTTCATGATGTCAGTAATGTTAAGCTTATGTTTTTGTAAATTTATTGGCCATTCACATGTCATCTTTGAAGAAAAATGTTCAGGTGACTAGGACATCTGGGTGTGACAGCATCTTAGTGCGATAATTCTTAGTGTGATGGCAGAAACATGAATATCACATGAGGAGCCGGTGCCGCGGCTCACTAGGCTAATCCTCCACCTTGCAGTGCCGGCACACCGGGTTCTAGTCCCTGTCGGGGCGCCGGATTCTGTCCCGGTTGCCCCTCTTCCAGGCCAGCTCTCTGCTGTGGCCAGGGAGTGCAGTGGAGGATGGCCCAAGTGGTTGTGCCCTGCACCCCATGGGAGACCAGGATAAGTACCTGGCTCCTGCCTTCGGCACACCGGGTTCTAGTCCCGGTCGGGGCACCGGATTCTGTCCCGGTTGCCCCTCTTCCAGGCCAGCTCTCTGCTGTGGCCCGGGAGTGCAGTGGAGGATGGCCCAAGTGCTTGGGTCCTGCACCCCATGGGAGACCAGAATAAGTACCTGGCTCCTGCCTTCGGATCAGCACGGTGCGCCGGCCGCAGCACGCCGGCCATTGGAGGGTGAACCAACAGCAAAGGAAGACCTTTCTCTCTGTCTCTCTCTCTCTCACTGTCCACTCTGCCTGTTAGAAAAAGAGAAGAAGAGGCAGAAGATGGGAAAGGACTTCCAAATTAACTTCTACTCTTTACTCATCAGATTCAGTTAGCATAATTGTTCTGAAAGCCATGCATAGTTTTTTCAGTAATATACTTCTTTCCACAAACTGAAAACCCCTTGTATGTAAGAGTCTGAAGACCAAAAGAGGTGTGGGCTCAATATAGATCTTTGGAAGTTGTACCCAGGCTAGCCTACCAGAACAGTAGACACCCTAGTGACCCAATACTTTTAAAATGCATTAATTTGCTATAAAGTAAGAATAAAAATCAAATTTTTAAGTCACAGAATGCTTTAATATATAATATTAATATTTCAATCTTAAAGCTAATATAGTCATAAGATATAAATTCTGAAAATTTTTATGTAGGAAGTTTCATTCCACAGAAGTCATACTGCTGTCCTAGCTCTATCGGTAAAGATGACTTTTGCTACAAATAACAGAAACTACACTCTCAATGACTCCAGCAGAGACTGCTAATTTCCCTACCTAGGAAGTTCAGCATTAGTGGCGCCTCCAGGGTCTGCAGACAAAGACTCCTCTCAGCTCTGCACGCTGCCATCCTTGCTGCTGGCTCCACTCTCAGCTGTGAGTAAAACAGCTACAGCAGTTCCAGGCACCTCCAGACTTGACAACATTCCCAGGGAGAAGAGATACTGTCACTTCCAGGGACTGTCTCCTAGCAGTGAGACAACCTTTCTCAGAAGCACCCTCTCCCCTCCTCTCACAGATGTCCTTGCTATGGACTGAATGTTTGTGTTTCCACAATTTATACATTGAAATCCTATATTCCCAAGGTGTTGGTCCTAAGAGATTGGGTTTTTGGCAGTAATTAAATCAAGAGGGTGGAGCCCCCATGGATAGGATTAATTCCCTTATAAATGAGGCCCTTCAGTAAGAAGGCAGACATCTATGAACCAGGACAGCCCCTCACCAGTGCTCCAATACTGGACTTCCAAACCTCCAGAACTCTGAGACAAATGCGTACTCCAGCCAGTTTATAGCATTCTGTCCTAATAGCCCAAACTGACAAGAGAGTCTCCTTTGTCTCACTGAACAGGACCAGGATACACCCTCACTCCTAAATCAATGACTGGCAAGAAGGATGGAATAAGCAGAACATTCTCAAAGTAACCACCGGGGTGGAAAGGGGACTCCTCCATCTGCTTTCTCCAGGAGTGTCCCTCCGGGAAGGGTGGGTGAGCGCACCTGGAGAAGGTGTTCAGAAACAAGCAGAGAGCGCTCAGGAGCTTCCACATCTGCAGAAGAGCAGAAATGGAGTCAGCCGTGGTTTCCGTTACAGCGGGGCTTCCTGTCTGATGGAAGAGACACATCATAAACAGCTACATGAACCTGGGCTGTAGTTTGGTCTGCTGGTAAGAGCAGACTGGGATATGAAGTGCCAGTTCTATATTAACAATTATATGACTCGGCAGGTTACCAAAGCACTCTCTGTTTCAATTTCTCCTTCTTCTCCTTCTCTTTCTTTTTTTGGACAGGCAGAGTGGACAGTGACAGAGAGAGAGAGAGAGAGAAAGGTCTTCCTTTGCCGTTGGTTCACCTTCCAATGGCCGCGGCAGCCGGCGCATCGTGCTGATCCTATGGCAGGAGCCAGGTACTTCTCCTGGTCTCCCATGGGGTGCAGGGCCCGAGCACTTGGGCCATCCTCCACTGCACTTCTGGGCCACAGCAGAGAGCTGGACAGGAAGAGGGGCAACCGGGACAGAATCCAGCGCCCCGACCGGGACTAGAACCAGGTGTGCCGGCACTGCAGGCGGAAGATTAGCCTATTGAGCCGTGGCGCCAGCCCTTTTTTTTTTTTTTTTTTTTTTTTTTTCTTCACACAACATCTAGACCACGCAGGAGAGATGACACTGTTACTTCATCTGCATTTACAATGGCCCAATATTAGTTTATCCCATTTGTACAACTGCTGATAGCACTGAGAGCCCATAGCAGCAAATAAACGGAAAGTCATTTTACTCTTCCATAAAGCACCCAACACAGAGTAAATATCGAGTAAATGCAACAATTATTATTTTCATATTCGGGTGGTGGGAGGCCGTTGGAAGGGATTCAAGCAGGAAGGTGCACTGGTGAGATCTGTGTCTTGGCTGCATGGCTTGGGTAGTTTGTTCTGACTCTGCTCTCGGCTTCCTCTTCACCAGATCAGCGTGAGCATGTATCTCCCCAGCTGAGTTCACTTCTAGCTATCCCCACAACGAGCCCCACCAGACTCCTCCAGGCCCCAGCAGCATCCCTGTAAAATCTCTGTTGGTTTTAGCAAGGCTTCTACGCTTTGGAATCAGGATGAATTACTGCCCCTCATTTCACCCCTGTCCACTTGCATTGTTGCTGCTCAAAGAAATTAATCAAGTTTATTAAGCATGACCTCTCTTAGGAGCCTGCTCCCAGGCTGCTGTCTGTACCTGTCTGCTCCTCTCCTAGCTCAGTTCCAATCAGAGGCCTCTGCCTACATTAGTGCTTCTGTGGGGGCAGGGACAGGCGGCTGGGTGGCCACATCTTTTGTTGTTTGCAGAGACTGACGCACTGAGCTGGATCGGACAAAGGCAGGATGCTCTGCTACAGTGAGCAGGAGGCCCTTTGTTTCCATAGCTGTGAAAAAATAGGAACAAAAAGGATAAATGTTGCATCCAAATGCGCTAATAATTAACATGTAGCACCATGGATATAAAAAGCACTTAATGCTAAATTACAAGGATCATAATAGCTATTCTTTATTCAGCCCTCCTCCGTATGGCACCATGGCTTGGTAGCTAAGTACATATAAGCCAGAGCCTAACTGCCCAGGTCCCAAATCCTGGTTCTACCATCTATTAGCTCTGTGACCTCGAGCGAGCTACTCAATCTTTCCGTCTCAGTCCTTGTATCTGTGAAGCACAGACAATGAAAGAACACAGTTCATAAATTATGTGAGTTCAGACTATTCCTATAAAGCACCCAAACATGACCTGCCACACAAGAAATATATTTTTATATACCAGATTTTGGGTTTTACATACATTGATTATAAACTTAGACCTCAAAACAAACTTGTGATGTGGATGTTCTTATTATTATCCATATTTACCAGGATATGGATAGATAGTATCCTCATAATCCTTGCTATCCTAATAATATCCTTGAGGAAATCAAGACTCAGAGAGGTTGAATAACTTCCCAAAGGTTACACACCAAGAAAGAGGTAGAACCCAATTCTGTCTGACTGTCACGGCCGTCTCCTGTTATCACAGTGGAACACACCAGGTCTTTTCAGAGTGAAGGACAGAGGCAGCTCGATCAATGGCTTCCATCCCCTCCGGCCTTCCGTTACATACAGGCCTCCAGCCTGCCCTAGAACGTGCAAGGTCCAGTTCTCTGGAGAAGGTGGAAGGCCAGCCAGGGAAGAACTGAGACATGGCCTAGCTCTACTAATGACTTGTGTTAACTACTTGCCCACCAAGAGTTGAGCCACTTACCAGAAACTGGCCACTGGGCAATGAATGATACAGGTCCAGGGGACAGACAGATCTGGGGCCAAGGTGGCACAGTATAGACTTTACATCCTAAGAGACTTCGGACAGCACCAAGAAAATGCAGTGAATGGACCTGCATAGCTCAAGGCCCACAGCATTTGTAGAGCAACTTTGTGCCAGAGAACTTCAGATTCTTGAGGGATGTCTGAATTTTGTTTTTTGATGTGAAGGAATTTCAGAGTCTGGCTTGTTATACCTCATGTGGAGTGGACATGTGCCCATTCTAGTCAGGCCTCATCACAGTCCCCACCCAGCCTCCAACTACTCACTTGTCCCTCCAGTTGATGCCAGCTCCTCATGACTCCTCCCCTGTCCACAAGTCCATCTGCAATCAGATAAAAGCCAACTGGGTCTACCCAGGACTCTGGGAAATACTGTCCTGACTCCTCAGTGAGGACAAGGCCTGGTGTCAGCAAAATGGCTGTGAATGGACATTCCTGGAGGTCCCCAGGCTACGTTCACATCTACCTAATGTGGCATAGCCACTCGTGTGCAAACAGGCAAGATGTCGGTGCTATGTGTTCCCCCTGCCCCCCACCTAATGCCTCATTGCAGGGCTTCTCCACCCTTCCACCTGCACTTGTCTGTTGCCTCCCACTCACATCCCTGGGTTTCCAAATGAAGATCAGAGCAGGAGAAAAATGGTCAGGCTGAACTTCAGTGAAAATAGGAGGAGCTCCGTAGTTGGACAAATAAGGGTTTGAATCTCTTCATGTCACACAGCAGATGTGTGACTTGGGCTGGTTACTTAACCCCTCTGAGTCTGTTTTCTCATTTCTGAAAGAAAAATAATCTTTACGCTTAGGGTTTCCGTAAAGATTGGAAATAATATGTATAACTCTGTTATACCCAGTGGCACTTAATAACTATTGTCAGACACAGGCAGACATCTTTCTGTTCACTGAAGTACATTCACTTTCTCTGCCTAAATTCTTATAATCACCAGGCGGCATGTAATCTTCATGCACCAGGGATGTTGCTGTGAGAGGACGGGCTGGAGTGGAGCTAAGTTCCTTTAAAAAAAAAAAACAAAAACAACAATTGTATTAACAGTTGACTTTTTTTTTTTTTAAGATTTATTTGAAAGGCAGAGTTACAGAGAGGCAGAGGCAGAGAGATCATACATCCACTGGTTCACTCCCCAAATGGCCTTAATGGTCAGAGCAGGAGGAGCCAAGACCTTTTTCTAGATCTCCCACGTGGGTGCAGGGGCCCAAGGATTTGGGCCATCTTCTACTACTTTTCCAGGCCATAGCAGAGAGCTGGATCAGAAGTGGAACTTCTGGGACTCGAACTAGCACCCTTATAGGAGGCCAGCACTGCAGGCAGCAGCTTTACCCACTATACCACAGCACTGCTTTGAGTGGGGCTAAGTTCTCTTGCTGGACCTAGACTTTCATCTGGCAAAGACAGGAAGATTTTGATTCCTCTCCCTGTAGTTGTGAAATTAATCCTCCCAATTATCCAGGACCATCCCAGTTTTAGCACTGAAAGTTCAGTCTTGAAAAAACTGGGATGATTAGTCATCCTGTTAAGGGCACTGGCCAAGGAAGATGGAGGTGTTAGATCTGGAAGAAGCAGTGGAGTTTCTCATAATCAAGCCGAGGCCAAGGGTGACACCTAGTGGTCATATGAGAAATTGCAGTCTGGGTTTTTTTGGGCCCTCAGTTCCTAAATATTTTTAAAGCTTCCAACATGTGCCAACCCTTGGGAGTCTAAGTTTCAGGAGTCTTGGAAGGTATCCTAAAGGCAAGGTAAATTTATTCTGAGACCTACTGACTGATAAAATGCGGGCCAGGTCAAGGTTGGGGGTGGATTAGGAGAGAAGAACAAAGACAAAAACAGTTAAGTAGGAAGCAGCAGGAAACTAGTGACAGTACGGTGAAGCAGGATAGTGGTGAGAAGAAAATCTGGAAGTTTGTCAGGGCCTACTAACCATTGCCTTGACCCTAAGAGCAATCAGAATTTACCACTTGGTTTTAAGGACAGTCATATAATAAATATGCATTTCTCAAAGCCAGCTTTGGCTACAGGGTGGAGAATGGTTTGGAGTATAGCAAGTCTAAACCCAGTGAAGCAATCATACAGTTATTTTAGTACTCATATAATTCCAAGACGGTGGTGACCAGGACTTGGGTGGTGGCAGAGAGAGGAAGAAAGATGTAATGTTTCCAGAGATATTGTGGAAATCGGATGGACAGGAGTAGCGTGACTGACTAGAGGTAAGGGTTGAAGGACAGGGAGTTTCAAAAAATGACCTGCAGGTTTTTGGTTAGGTTCCCTGGAAAGTAGTGGGACAGCTGTGAAGGAGAGAGAGGACAATGCTGGGCATGATGGATTTGGGGGTGGCTATGGGGCATCCAAGTAAAGACAGCAAATAAATATTGAATAAAGGTTGGGAAGAAGGCTATAACTGTGGGAATCATCTGCACATAGGGCTGGCACCCATAGCCCTAGGTGGCATCAACATTTAAAAATGGGCAGAGGTAAGCGTCTGGCCTACCACGTGAAGCCACTAGTTAAACTGGGGCTAGTGTTGTGGTGCAGCAGGCTAAGCTGACACTTCTGATGCAGGCACCCTATACTGGAGAGCCAGTTCCAGTCCCAGCTGCGCCACTTATGATCCAGCTCCCTGCTAATATGTCTGAGAAGGCAGTGGAAGATGGCCCAAGTACATAAGTACCTGCCACAAATGTGGGAGACCCAGATGGAGTTCTTGGCTCCTAGCTTCAGCCTGACCCAGATCTGACTGTTGTGACCACTGGGGAAGTGAACTAGTACACGTGTGTGTGTGTGTGTGTGTGCATGTGTCTGTTGCTCTGTCTTCCAAATAAATAAATCTTAAAAAAAAAAAAAAAAAAAACACCACCAGTTAAGATGTCCACAACCCATCCTCAGAGTAGCTGTGTTCCATATCCACTCCAGCTCCTGCCTCCAGCTTCCTGCTAATGCAGATCCTGGGGAGCAGCAATGATGGCTCACGTCACGGGGTACCTGTCACCCGTGTGAGAGACCTGGACTAAGCTTCTAGCTCCTGGCTTTGGCCTGGACCAGTCCCAACAGTTAGGGGCATTAGCAGCGCAAACCAGAAGATGAAAGCTTGCTTAGTCTCTTTCTCTCTGTCTCTCAGATTAAAACACACACACACAGCCTTCAGCCCAACAACTCTACTTCCCAGAAATCAGCCTATAAATGTGCTTTATATATGCACAAAGACTTATGAGGAGGATGTTTAGTGTGGCATTTTATAAACAACTAAAATAGGATACTACTTGCATGTTCAGTGGGGCTGGTTAAATTAACTATAACATATCCACATAATAGGATTTTATGTAGCCATTAAAAAGATCACAGTAGGTATACTGGTGAGTTTTTCATTACTACAATGAAATATCTGGCACGGGCTACTTACAAAGGGAAGAAGCTTACTTTGGTTCACAGGCCAACGCTGGGAGAACTCCCTTGGTTTGGCCTCTGGTAAAGGCTTTTCTGCTGGCAGAGGTCCTGAGGTGACATGGAGCACCACATGGCATCTGTCACAGGGGCTCCACCCTAACAACCTAGTCCAATCTAACCATTTCCCAAAGGCCCTACCTCTAAACACAATAATTAGATTAAGTGTCCACCCTCCTAGTACCAGTGACATACATTAGGGACCAAGCTTTGCACACACATGCCTTTGGGGACCCTCAAACTAATATCCAACCCATAGCAGTAGTTTACATGTAATGAAGTGGAACTCCAATCAAATACTGGATGCATTAAGAAAAAGGATAGGGGCCGGTACGGTGACATAGCTGGTAAAGCTGCCACCTTCCTGCATCCCATAGGGATACTGGTTCAAGTCCCAACTGCTCCACTTCCGATCCAGCTCCATGCTATGGCCTGGGAAAGCAGAAGATGGCCCAAGCCCTTGGCCCCTGCACCCACGTGGGAGACCTGGAGGAAGCTCCTGGCTCCTGGCTCCTGGCTTCGGATCGGCCCAGCTTTGGCTGCTGAAGCCAGAGGAGTAAACCAGCAGATGAAAGATCTCCCTCACTGTCTCTCCCTCTCTCTGTGTAACTTTGCCTTATATATATATATATATATATATATATAATGTGAGAGTAAAGACATAGGAAAAAGAAGAAAATCAGTAAAGCAGGCAATGTGAGCTTAGGTGAGATCCAAAGGATTCAGAGCCCTGGTGTGATCTTACGCAAGTGGGATTCTCCCTTCCCAGTAACAGAAGAGACTGCTTTCAAGATCTGGTGACTGGCCAGTGCCGGGGCTCACTAGGCTAATCCTCCACCTGCGGTGCCCACATCCATCCCGGGTTCTAGTTCTGGCTGGGGCGCCGATTCTGTCTCGGTTGCTCCTCTTCCAGGCCAGCTCTCTGCTGTGGCCCGGGAAGGCAGTGGAGGATGGCCCAAGTGCTTGGGCCCTGCACCCCATGGGAGACCAGGAGGAAGCTCCTGGCTCCTGGCTTCTGATCGGCGCAGTGTGCCAGCCATAGCAGCCACTTTGGGGGTGAACCAACGGAAGGAAGACCTTTCTGTCTCTCTCTCTCTCTTTCTCTCTCTCTCTCATTGTCTAACTCTGCCTGTCAAAAGAAAAAAAAAAAAAGATCTGGTGACAATAAATGGAAGCAATACTGACTGATGGTTCCTGCTGTTCTATATCTAGCAAGGGTCCCCTGAAGAGGGCCCTGTGAGGGGCAGGAAGGGTGCAGTTTACAGAGATGAAACAATTTAGTGGCTGACAACTGCTGACCAAGTCTGCAGGCCTTTGGCTAAGTTGTGCTCTTCACCTGGAACACTTATCTCCATGCCCTTCTGACGCCTTCCAACAATAAACACAGACTCAGCTTGTCAATGCCTACTCAACCTCTGGTCTCAACTTAAAGGTCCTTCCCTAGTCCTCCGGAAACTGTCAGAAGCGACATCCTCCCCTGACACACAGCAGCCAGGGAGGGTCAATAGAAACGCTGCGTCCGTTCAAGTTATCCTGCTCAGAAGTCTCCAGTGGCTTCCTGTCTCAGCAGAGAAAGTCACAGTCCTAACGCACCTGACTCACCACTCCTACTCTTCCCCAGCTGTAACACACCAACCCCATTCCTTTGCCAGGACTTGTTAGTGGACTTGTTCTAAGTCTCCTGAGAAAGAACCACCTTCCCTGGAAAGCCACCTGGCTTGCTCCCTCACTAAAAAAAAAAATCTCAAAATTCTGACACATGCTATAACAACTTTGAGGACATTACTTATGCTAAATGAAATAAGCCAGTCACTTTAAAAAACACATACACAAATACTGTGTGCGTCCGCTTAAGACAGTCCTCGAACATTCAAAAATCATACAAAGTAGAGTAGTGGGTGCCAGGGCTGGAGGTGGAGGGAAATCGAGAACTGCTGCTTCATGGATGGAGAATACAGAAATAGTTCGCACAAGAACATGGACTATGTTACGCACACACACACATTTTAAATATCACCTTCTCTGTGAGGTATTCTGAGTCACTCAGAAAATGTCAAGTCCTCCACAAACGAGGAGTCCAGCCAGGGGCGGGGCAGGGGCGGGTCTAGAAGGTGGGGGCTTCCGGGACCGCCTCCGCCGGAAACCAAAGAGGAGGGCCATCGGGAGGGGCGGGGCCAGAAAGGCGGGAACTTCCGGGGCCGCCTCCGCGGAACGGCAAAGAGGAGGGAGCTCAGGCGGGGCGGGGCCAGGGAACGGCGAACTTCCGGGGCCACCGCCGCGGGAAGGCCAGGGTGGGAAGCCCGGGGGGCGGGGCTAGAAGGTGAGAGCTTCCGGGGTCGGCTCGGCTAAGTGAGAGCTAAGGTGAGGGTCATGAAGCCAGAAGGTAGCGAGCTGGACTTCCCGTTGATCTGCGCGTAGCTGCAGGAAGGGGACGGAGGTTAGGATTTCCGAGGAAGCAGAGTTCCTCTGCTCGCCGCCAGGGCTGAGAGCTGGAGGAGGGACGCGGATCCACGACTTGGGCTCCTCAGCCCCCACAGCTCCCTGCTCCCCCTGGCGACCTAGGCACCGTAGAAGGCCGAAATGGCAGAAAGCCTCCAGCGGTGCCACCACTCGGCTCCGCACCACTCACTGTTGGACTCCGGTTCACCTCGGTCTCGACCTGCCCTTCTACCCTGTGCCACCGGTAGTCCCAGAGGGCATGGCGGCCAGGTCGGAGGATCGACCTTGGGACCGTCCCCCAGGGTCCTGCTGTAAGGGAACAAATGCCCTACGTAGATCACTGCCTGCATGCCGTCAGGACTGCGGGGAGTGGAGTCTGGCCAGGGGGGAGACCCCGCATCCACGATTCCCTCTGTCCCCACTTCAACTCTTCAGAGCCCAGTCTGAGCCCTAGACCAAAGTCAAGAACAGTCCCGTGTAGGACACCATGACCCAACCATAATCATCCTCATCTTTAAGATAGCCCCCACTTAGCTTCTAGAACCCTTATCCGGAGCAGATGGCAAATGAGGGACCAGAAGTCTTATTTCTGCTCTTTTGTACCTGTGGCTCATGATTGGAAATTCCTGCAGCTGGACCCAAGACCTGGAAACTAGAACTGCTTCCTCGTGGGGCCTCGGACCCGGTCCACCCCAGCCCTTTTTAGAGCCCTGTAGGCAGAGCTCTTTGCCCAGGAATCCACAAAACATTCTCAGTGTTCAGGCCTAGGGAGGAGTAACCCCTCCCTGTGCCTGTTACTCCTGATCCTGCTGCAGTTCCTCTTCGGGACTATGACCTTTGCTACTTTGTCTGCGCTTGCCCCACAGCTGGCCAGGGCAGAGCTCCTCACTACCAGTCCTGGCCCTTTCTGGGTACTGTTCTCCAGGCTACAGGCCTAAACACCCAGCCAGGCCTCTTTCTTTCTTTTAAAGATTTATTTATTTGAAAGGCAGAGTTACAGAGAGGCAGAGGCAGAGAGAGAGAGGTCTTCTAGATTCACTCTCCAAATGGCTGCAACAGCCAGAGCTGCACCAATCTGAAGCCAGGAGCTTCTTCCAGGTCTCCCACACAGGTGCAGGGGCCCAAGGACTTGGGCCATCTTCTACTGCTTTCCCAGGCCATAGCAGAGAGCTGGATAGGAAGTGGAGCAGCTGGGACTCAAACCGGTGCCCATATGGGATGCCGGCACTGCAGGCGGCGGCTTTTACCCACTATGCCACAGTGCCGGTCCCCAGGCCTCTGTCTAAGCCCTAGCCCATGACATCCTTCTCCCTCCTGCCTGTGAAGCTGATCAGGCTGTCCGGCTCCCATCCCAGCGGTCTCCCCAGCAGCATGTTTCATTGCTCCTCTGGGAGTGGGGCTCACATTCTCACAGAGCTTTGCTTATGCAGTTTGCCCATCTTGGATGCCCTTGGCTAACCCCTGAAAGGCCACCCAGCTGAAGTCAGAAAACTAATTCACTCAATCCAGTGATCTCATGCAGTCCAAGAGTAGCAGGGTGCCCAGAAATCTCTGGCTCAGTGCCCAGCTAGGAAACTTCAAAGTGTAAGGACTCCTGAGTTCTAGTCCTAACAGGGTGGGGAGGGTGAAGAACACCAGTGCAGCCGTTCTTTCAGGGCCTGAACTACCAGGATTTTCTCCAAATTTTGCTTGGGACAAGGGAGTTAAAAGTGTTGAGATGTGAGATTGACAAGACAGATGCGGCTGAGAGATGGCACAAATGGAAGGAGAGATATGTAGAAGCAACTCAATGGCCCATCTTCCCATAACGCCACTTCTTTGGACCATTTCAGAGAGGGAGCCAAAATATGTAACTTGAAATATTTTAGCATATATTTTTAAAAAGATGTATTTATTCAAAAGAGTTATGGAGAGAGGGGGGAGAAACAGAGATCGTCCGTCTGCTGGTTCGCTTCCCAGATGGCTGCAACAGAGCTGGACCAGGCTGGACCAGGAGCTTCATCTCGGTGTCCCACCTAGGTAGCAGGGCCCCAGATACTTTCCTAGGCCATTAGCAGGGAGCTGGATCGGAAGTGGAGCAGTGGGGACACAAACCAGCACCCGTGTGGTTTGCCAGCGTCACAGATGGTGCTTTACCTTCTATGCCATCATGCCTGCCCCCTAATGTTGTTGATGTTTTAATATTAAAGGAGCACTAGGGGCCGGGCATTGTGGTGTAGCAGGTTAAGCTGCCACCTGCGACACCAACATCCTGCTCCCATCCAGCTCTCTGTCAGTGCATCACGGAAAACAGCGGAAGATGGCCCAAGAGCTTGGGCCCCTGCACTCATGTGGGAGACCAGGAAGAAGCTCTTGGCTCTGGCTTCCACCTGGCCCAGCTCGGACCTTTGCAACCATTTGGGGAGTGAACCGGTGGATGGCAAAGCTAACTCTCTCTATTCCCCACTCCCCATAACTCTGCCTTTTAAATAAATAAAATCCTCAAAAAAAAAAAAAAAAGAAAAAATAAAGCAAATTCCTGAATTGTAAAGAAAAACATGAAACTGCTAAGAAAGTCTGTGCTTGAGGGAGAATTCAGGCTCCTCTCACCCCGGGCTGAGTCTGCTGAGCTGGGGGATGAGGGAGAGCCGAGTGAAGGCAGCAATTGTGATCTCCCTAAGGGTGTGACCCTGGGGAGGAGCGGCGCGGCGTCCTTGCGCTACCCGCGGCTGCGGGTCTGGGGGTAAAGGCGGAGTCACAGGCCCCGCCCCCTCCCCCTACTCCGCATCAGTGCTGGCTCCGCGTGGTTCTCACAGGTCCGGGATCTGCGGTGTCCCCAGGCGGCTCCACGCCGGGGTGCTGCTGCAGGGAGAAAAGCCCCGAAAGACTTCAACCTGGAAAAGAGCAAGGAACGCTCCCGGGAGACAGAACTGGCCTGCCCCGGTTTACGACCGGCTTCCGACGACTAGCCTGGGACTGAGAATCCCAAAGTGCCAAGCGACAAGCGAGCCGCTCCAGAAGGAAAGGACCAGTCGCCTCCCAGCCCGCCATGGCGGCGCCCGCCCGCAGACTGTGCCACATTGCCTTCCACGTGCCCGCCGGACAGCCCCTCGCCCGCGACCTGCAGCGCCTCTTCGGCTTCCAGCCCCTTGCGGTGCGGGAGGCAAACGGCTGGCGGCAGCTGGCTCTGCGCAGCGGTGATGCCGTCTTTTTGGTTAACCAGGGCGCGGGGCCGGGGGAACCCCTGTACGGGCTGAACCCGCATCACGCTGTGCCGAGCGCCACGAACCTGTGCTTCGACGTGGAGGATGCCGGCGCCGCCTCCCGGGCGCTGGCCGCTAGGGGCTGCAGCTTGCCAGTGCCCGCTGTGAGCGTGCAAGATGCGCAGGGAACCGCCACCTACGCCGTGGTCAGCTCACCTGCCGGCAATCTCAGCCTGACCTTGCTGGAGCGTGCCGGCTATCGCGGACCCTTCCTGCCCGGCTTCCGGCCGCTGACCTCTGCGCCGGGCCCCGGCTGGGTCAGCCACGTGGACCACTTGACCTTGGCCTGCAACCGTGGCAGTTCCCCCACACTTTCGCGCTGGTTCGAGGACTGCTTGGGTTTTCGCCACTTGCCACTGAGCCCAGGTGAGGATCCAGAGCTGGGCCTCGAGGTGGCAGCAGAGTCCGGGTGTGGGGGACTGCGGCTCACCGCCCTGCAGTCCCCAGTGGGCAGCGCCGTCCCTACCCTTGTGCTGGCTGAGTCCCTGCCGGGGGCCACAAACAAGCGGGACCAGGTGGAGCAGTTCCTGGCCCGCCATAGGGGGCCTGGGCTGCAACATGTAGGGCTCTACACACCAAACATCATGGAGGCCACTGAGCAGGTGGCACGGGCCAAGGGCCAGCTCCTGACTCCTCCTAAGGCCTACTACCAGCAGCCAGGCAAAGAGGAACAGATCTTAGCCTCAGGGCACAAGCCTAGCCTTCTGGCCCAACAAGGAATCCTGCTAGATGGCCATGCAGGCAAGTTTCTACTTCAGGTCTTCACCAAGTCTCTCTTTGCTGAAGACACCTTCTTCCTGGAGCTGATTCAGAGGCAGGGGGCCACAGGCTTTGGCCAGGGCAACATCAGGGCCCTGTGGCAGTCAGTGCAGGAACAAGCTGCTAGGGGCCTGGAAGACTGAGGGCCAGAGCTGGGTGCAGCCACCTGCCCTGGAACTCAGGAATACACCCGCGCACACACAAGGCCAGGAGAGTGAAAAACACTGCCCGTGGGGGCCAGGTGTGGCTTCCATCTCGTCAGGATGTGCCAGAAGTTGAGACTCAGACTGGGCTCCAAAGAGGTGCAATTTTTTTTTTTAAAATATAAGACTTTTCTTGGGGCTGGTGCTGTGGCACAGTTGGTTAACCCTCCACCCGCAGTGCCAGCATCCCATATGGACAACAGTTCGAGTCTCGGCTGCTCCACTTCCGATCCAGCTCCCTAATTGCCTGGGAAAGCAGTAGACGATGGCCCAAGCCTTGGGCCCCCTGTACCTACATGGGAGACCTAGAAGCTTCGGGCACCTGGTTTCAGATTTGCCCAGCTCCAGCTGTTGCAGCCGTTGGGAGTCAACTAGTGGATGGAAGACCTATATCTCTCCCTCTCTGTAGCTCTGCCTCTCAAATAAATAATCTTAAAAAAAAAAAAAAAGACTTTTCTTACACAGTCTAATACATATGCAAGATATAAAGAAGTATGATTAGGAAATAGCACTACTTTTGAAGCAGCCTATATCTCTCTGATCCCACTTCCCTCTCACATGTTGTGATTATTACGTTGTGGTTATTAACCCTTTGCTTTTTTGTATCACTGTATATGTACTACATCCATAAATAAAGAATTCAGTATTTGAGGGAGGAATGTAGGACAGAACAAACCCTCCCCTGTGTTCCCCCTCTCCCTAGGGAGCAACCACTGGGGTGGGAAGGGCCTGGATCAGGGTTAAACCCAAGCACCTGCTCTAGGGTGATGCCACTGCTCCAATCAAAGCCGACCTGAGACCCAGGCTGAGGGTGTTGGGTGTCAGCCGCTGGCAGGTGTTCACCCTCTCTGCTGAGGGCTACAGGAGGACAGACCACTTTGGACAGAAAACCCCTCCTCCATCTGCAAGGGCTGGCTGGGAGCATGGCCAGTGGAAGTCAGAACCAGGACATCACCATTTTCTGGTCCCTCAGAGGTGAGGGAGAGAATTAGGGAGAGGGTGCAAAGCTCTCAAACATTTCTAAAAAACTAGCACTTTATTTAATAAACAACAGGATTGTGGGTGAGGGTCTTCCAGAGGCATCAGTGGGTGGCACTGCTGAGGCTGGGCACATCCACGGGGATGCAGGGCCTAAGGAAACCATCCAGGACCTGCTGGCCCTTGCTGGGCCTTTTCCGACCGAGTGGAACGGACATGGGGGACCTTTTGGAACCCTGTGCGGAATCCAGAGGAGGGAGGCACTGAGGTAAGGGCAGCAGAATCCTCTCCTTCCTCCCCTCCTCCCACTCTATAGATCCAGCTCAGCTTCTAGCCGGAAATCCTGGAGGGCTTTCGGGCTGCCTCCACTATCTGCCCCTTCAGCCAACTTTCCAAAAGGTAACTCATGAAAACCTTTCAAAGACGCAACCCTGAGCCCGTGTCTCTCCCACCTAAAATGCCGCAGTGGCCTGCTGTCCACACCCGACTGACCTCTGCAGCTAAGCCAACACCCACTGCTCTCTGAGCACTGCAGATTGCACTGTGCCCCACCTGTCCTCACCTTACTTTGGGATCTGGAAAGAGCATCCTTACTGCAGAGACCCCTCCCAAACCTGAGGAAACCACTCATTTTAAGGACCCAGGTTACCACCCACTCCCAAGCAACCTTTTGAGATCCTGGGCTCCCAGACAGAATGAATGGCTCCCCATCTCATTTCCCATAAAACCTAGCACGAACATTTCCCACACTGTGAACTGGACTGTCCTCATCAAGGTGCTTTTGTCCCCAGACCCTGCACCTGACATTGTCAAGTCCCCAGATCAGGAACTTTTCCTCCCCATCTAGTGAAACCTGGAGCGGAGAAGATTCACCCAAACGTGTCAGCTGACCGGCTAAGTGCCCATGGATGTGGGCCTGGGAAGAGACAGCTGGGTGGAGGCCAAGAGACTTACCTTGCAGGTCCCTGGCTTTTGGCCCTCATACACACGGAAAACCTAGCCAAGAAGAGGGCGGGAGAGGAAGGGCTGGCAACGTCTCTGAAAGAGCCAGACCCGTGTTCTGCCCTCCACTTCATGCCCCCGCACTTTCATTTAAAACATTCCTTTTTTTTTTTTTTTCTGTTTCCACAGTAACAGTTTCTTGTATAACATGTGGGTAGCCAAAAAAAAAAAAAAAAAAAGTACAACAAAGACAATAAAAGTAGTGCCTTTTTCATGGCCGTGGAGACTGCCGCAGTGTGAAATTCCTCCCGGGTCAGCCAGCGAGCGCCAGGTGGTGTGCTTGCCAAGGTCTGGCCTTCCAGGGCCAGACCATACACTTGATACGTCACCTTGATGTGAGAGAACGTGTGGACCACCTGTGTGGAGTGCCAAAGGGCTGCAACAGGCCTGTGGATGCGGCTAGGAGAGCCATCATCCCCGGCCCCGCCCTGCCCACTCACCTCCCCGAGGTGCCGGAGCTGAGCAGCAGGGAGGGGCCCAGCCCAACTCTGCAGTTCCTGAAGCAGTGCCTTGTGCTGATGCTGCACTGGGGACTCCAAGGTCACGGACGGGAACTCCCACAGCCCTGCCAGCAGACCTGAGAGGGAGGGCAGCCCGGTGCGGGTTAGGTTTTAGCTGCTGCCGCCTCCATTCCTCCCTTGGTGCTCATGCCACAGCCCTCCACATCCATGATCCAGGTACCTGAGCTGGGCCTCTGGACCAGCAGAATGCGGGCACCTCCAAGGGCCTTGGGCTGCTCCAGGACACAGGTGGCAGAGCACTCCTCCCTGGGGGGCCTGCGGCTGGCCTTTCGGGGAAAGTTGGCCACTCCCAGGGTCTGGTCCCAGGGTTCTGAAGGAGGTGGGCACAGCTGGCACTGTCCAGTACCAAGAGCTGGAAATAAAGCCCCGAGCCCCACTCAGGTTAGGCGGGCTTAAGTGCCAGGCTCAGAGGGCAGGCTTTGGCCTGCTCTGCGGAATCTCACTCAGCCTTTAGGAAGCACCGGAATGAGACCCCCACAGGCAGCTGCCTGAGCACTGGGAAAAGCTGGGGCTGGGGCTGGGGCTGGCACTCACCACACTCCTCTACATCAGGATTGCCTGGCAGGCTCCGTGAAGCAGACAGCTGTTCTTGCTCCACCTAAAAGGCAAATGGTACGGGGTCATGGGACAAGGGTCATTCCCAAGGACCCCTAACTTCCCCTTACTCAGGAGGCTAACCCTCTGGCGGGCCCGGCACAAGCGCTGCACAGGGCATCGTTTGCAGAGTGGGCGCTGCGGGGTGCACACTGTGGCCCCCAGCTCCATGGCTGCTTGGTTGAAGTCCCCTGGCCGTACTGGGTCCACCAACTGCTGGGCGAAGCTCCTACAAGAAGGGAATGTCACTCTGAGCCAAACGCTTTTTGGAGATATCCCTCCCAAGCTCCCCTGCCACTCCGATATCCTACCAGAGCTGCTGGAAGACAGGAGCGCTGCTGGGATCAGCACCAATGGCTCGAACACGGCACAGCACCCGCACCACATTCCCATCTACCACGCCGGTTGCCTAGCACAGAGGAGCCTAGGAGTCAGCCTGGACTGGGAAGAAAGAGGGTGAGCATGCACAAAGTAGGGGTGGGCTATGGGCTCACCTGGCCAAAGGCGATGGAAGCTATGGCCCCAGCTGTGTAGCGCCCCACACCAGGCAGGAGCCGCTGCAGGGTCTCTGCGGTTCGTGGCACATGGCCCCCAAGTTCCTCTACCACCTGATAGGGGTAGGAAAGCTCAAGGTTACTACAGACTCAAGGTCCCTGGACTCCCAACTCCCCACGATTTCCTCACCTTCCGAGCTCCCTCCTGCAGCCTCCTGCCTCGAGAATAGTAGCCCAGGCCAGCCCAGAGCTGGTTCACCTCCTGTGTGTGGGGCCACAGGTCCACAAGATCACTGGTCAATCCCTCAGCTGTTTCCCTTTCCCCTACCCTAGTGTGGCTCTCACCTCCAGGGAAGCACTGGCCAGGTCCTGCAGTGTTGGCCACTTCTACAGCCCCAAGGCAGGCAAAAAGAGATGAGGTCACGGATGAGAACGGTAGAGGAAGCCTTCCTTACACACACCCCAAAGTATAGGCTCTCATCTGGGGTCTGACTCCTGACCCTCCCCTTCCTCCCATGAGTCACCTGCATCCATCGGGTGTAGTAGTTGATCACCGTGGCAACCTGAGTCTGCTGCAGCATGACCTCTGAGACCCACACTGGGGAAGAGGGGCTGGCATGAGGGCACTGCTGACCTGCTCGCTGCCTGAAGCCCCCAAAGCTGAGACCATGCAGGCAAAGCAGCCCTACTTTCAGGAGATGTACTGACCAGCATACGCCCGCCTGTCTGGGTCCACCTCATCCTCTGCCTGTCAATGCAACCCAGATACGCAGTTAGCATGGAGAGGGTTGGGTGCCAGTCTCTCCCCACCCCTCCATCCCTTTCCCTTCCCTGCCTACCCGTCTCCTCCAGGGTAGGTCCCGCTTCTCACGGTCATACCAGTTCAGCAGGCCCTCACGGAAGGCTGTGACTTCAGCTGAATCTCTGAACAGATGGTACGGGGAGACGGAGGCCTGCGACACCACCTCTTCCTGCTGTCTGGCCGGGCCTGCTGGGGCCTCAGGACACTCAGGGATTCTCCCTGTGCAGGCTGTGAACCAGGGACACAGGACACAGCAGCCTGTGGCAATATGCTCCCACCGAGGGCTTCCCGACCTCTGCTTAAGCCTCGGAGCTGCAGTCACAGTTCTCGTGCTCTATGCAGCCTTGGCCAAGGTTCTGGCCTTAATTTCCAGTGGTATGACCGGCTCATTTGTTTCTGGGCCATAATGGAAACCCAAGAGTGTCAGCCATGTAGAATGTACACTTGCACAGAGTTTTCCTGTTTATAAAACACTCCCAGTCTCACAAACATGTGCTCCCACAAAAGCCGTGGGAGAAAAGAAATGCAGATCACTGCTCCACTTCACTGGTAAGAAAGCAGCCATTCACAGCAATTATCGCAAAGTCACAAAGCAGCGTAGTCAGAACTAGGTCCTCAATTAGTCCCTCAATGCCATGAAAGGCAGAGTGACACACAGAGAGGGAGAGTAAGAGAGAGAGAGAGGGCAAGGGAGAGAAAGAATCCATCTTCCAGTTCACTCCCTAAATGGCTACAATAGCCAGGAATGGGCCAGGCCAAAACCAGTAGCCTGGAACTCCATTCAGGACTCCCACATAGGTGGCAGGGGCCCAGGTATTTGGGCCATCATCCACTGCTTCCCCAGGTGCATTAGCAGGGAGCTGGATCAGGAGTGGAGTAGCTGAAAACTCGCACCAGCACTCGGATATGGAATGCTGGCGTTACAAGCAGTGGCTTAACTCACAGTGCCACAGTGCCATCCCCAGTCTCAATGCCTTGACACATTCCATGCTCCCTTCCTAGCCCAAGGCTCCCCCCTTTCACGGCTGATGAAACCAGCCCCGAGCCTCTGGCTAGGGCCAAATTCCTCACCATCAGGGTCAGAAGGTGCAATTTGGCTGCTACCAAGGGCATGTTGTTTTCTTCGCTTCTTGCTGGCTGCCTGCTTCCTGTGACCACTTCCCACAGCTCCTCGTGGCTTCCTCATGATGGCCTAGATGAGAAAGACCCAATTAGGGGCCAGCCTTGTGGCACAGTGGGTTAATACACTGCCTGCAACCTTGGCATCCCATATGAGCACCAGTTCAAGTCCCAGCTGCTCCACTTCTGATTCAGCATCCTTGCTAATGCACCTGGGAAAGCAGTGGAAGATGCCCCAGGTGCTTGGGTCCCTGCCACCCACATGGGAGACCTGGATGGAGTTCCAGGCTCCTGGCTTTGGCCTGTCCCAGTCCCAGCAGATACAGCTATTTGGGGAATGAACCAGCAGATGGCAGATCTCTCTTTCCCTCTCTGTAACGCTGCCTTTCAAATAAATAAATAAATGTTAAAAAAAAAAAAAAAAAAAGACCCAGCCAAAGTCGTCAAAAGGCTATTTCAGGGTCATGCAGGGGCGATAGCTACCTTCCTGCCAACACCATTCACATGTCTCGCTTTTCTCATGCACTCAGGAAGCCCATGGGTTTGCTCTTGACTGGCTGTGGCATTGTGGCAACCCGTGAGGCTAACCAAATGGTCTCACAGGAACCAGCATGAGTACAGCCCTAGAGACATGCAAGCTTTAAGGGGCCATGGCTGGGATGGGTCAAGGACCAAGACCTCCTGTTTTGGAGCATTTGTGTCTCACTGATGCTTACTGTGACCGCGTGTGGGGAGAGGGGTTGTTTAGATGTGTCTGGGAGCATGTGGGGTGGGTGGGAGAATTCTCTGCTTAGAGATGTAGCATGGCTATGCTAAAACAAACTTTCATAGTCATTTAGTCCAAATCTTCATTTTACAGGCATTAGAAACCAAGGATCAGAGAGAAAAGATTTGCCTATGAGCAGATGGCAAATCAGTAGGGGATACAGATGAGCTATTTTTATACCTAATCTCTTCCTGATCTAGTAAGTCATAGCTGGCTGACCACTAGTAATGAGAAAATGCATCCAGGCGATCTTCACTGCTCCATTCTCTGGTTGCCTTGTCTTAGTGGCTGTAAGTACCTAAACTCAGTGAGCACCCACTCTATGCCAGACCCTGTCAAGTGCTTCACTGGATCTGCCATTCAACCTCTTGATAACTCCATCGCATGGACTATCACCTCTCAGTGGTTAGGGGAGAGCGAGCCTTGTACAGAGGAAGCAACTTTTTCTTTCAAACCCAGAACCTGCTCTGCACTTAAAAAAAAAAAAAAAAAAGATGTATTTATTTATTTATCTATCTATCTGAAAGGCAGAGAGAGAGAGAGAGAGATGTCTTTCATCTGCTGGTTCATTTCCTAAACACGTGCAACAGCCAGAGTTGGGCCAGGGCAAGAGTCCAAATCTCCACCCAGGTCTCCCATGTGGAGGTAGGCATCCCAGTACTTGGGCCATAATGCACAGCCTCCCCGGGCGCATCACCAGGAAGTTGGACTGGAAGCAGAGTAGCAAGGACTTGAACTGGCACTGTTATGGGAGGCAGCTGTCCCAAGTGGTCCTGAACCCACTCAGCCACCAGGCCCAGAACCTGCACTTTTATACTCTGCTCTATCGCTCCCCTGCTAAGCCTGTTTCAAACTCTTTACCACCTCATTTTTATCAAAAAAGCTTGCTTCCTCCTTCAGAGAAAAAAATGAATAAATGAATGTGTAAATTTATCTCCTTTCCCCTTTTTAAGGGAGAAATGAAACCTTCCTCTCAGGGTCCTGCTCCTCCAGTCAAGACCCACTCTCCTCCCCTTCAGAGCCAAACTTCCTTCACTTTCAATAATTTATTCTTTTTTAAAAAAGATTTATTTATGTATTTGAAAGGCAGAGTTACAGAGACAGAGAGAGGTAGAAAAACAGATCTTCCATCCGCTGATTCACCTCCCAAATGGCTGCAAGGATCAAGGTTGAGCCAGGCCAAAGCCAGGAGCCAGGAGCTTCTTCTGGGTCTCCCACGTGCGTGCATGGGCCCAAGCACTTCGGCCATCTTCCGCTGCCTTCCCAGGCACATTAGCAGGGAGCTGGATCAGAAGTGGAGCAGTCAGGATTTGAACCGGCACCCATATGGGATGCCTGTGTTGCACGTGGCAGCTTTACCCACTATGCTACAGTGCCAGCCCCAAAAAGAACTTATTCTACAACCCTTCTCCAAAGAGCAAAATGATCTTTTCAAGACATGATCATGCCACTTCCTTATATAAAGCCTTCCCACTAAATCCTTGAACAAATATTAATAGGGTGCCTACTATGTGCCAAGCAGTTTTAGTTACCTGGAAAACTGCAGTAACCAAAACAGCAAAGGTTTCTGCCCTCACAAAGTTGATATTCTCTAATGGAACACCATGGGGGCCGGTGCCATAGCTCACTTGGTCAATCCTCCACCTGTAGCACTGGCATCCCATATGGGTGCCGGGTTCTAGTCCCAGTTGCTCCTCTTCCAGTCCAGCTCTCTGCTGTGGCCCGGGAGCACAGTGGAGGATGGCCCAAGTGCTTGAGCCCCTGCACCCACATGGGAGACTAGGAAGAAGCACCTGGCTCCTGGCTTCGGATTGGCGCAGCGCGGGCCATGGCAGCCATTGGGGGGATGAACCAATAGAAGGAAGACCTTTCTCTCTGTCTCTCTTTCTCTCACTGTCAAATAAAAAAAAAATCTAATGGAACACCATGAATAACATGCATAAGAAGTCAGTTTATCTAGTATGGTTAGAAGGTGATAAATATTAGCATAGAGAGAACAAGTAGAGCAAGTACAGAGGATGTACAGTGCTGGGGTGGAGGGCAGAGTGCTGCAAATGTCAAGACCATGGTCAGGGACCTTACTAAAGTGATGCTTGGCCAATGACTTGAAGCGGTTGGAATTAGCACATGGACACCTGTGGGAACGGTGTATCAGGAAGCTAGTGCAAGGGCTCCAAGGAGGACGTCGGGCATGTTTATGGTATAAACGGGGGCTACTGTGGCTACAATGAAGTGAGGAGAGGGTACACGCTACATGAGGCTTGAGAGGTAGAGGGCAGGTAGAGCCGGATGACAAACTGCCTTGGAGGCCACTGGGAAGGCTTTGGCATCACCCGGCCCCCTTGCTGTTAGGAGCCCCGCCTCTTCCCAAAGCCTTGCGGCTCCACTGATCAGGACCTCATCCGCCTCATCTCTCTGACCATGCTCCAGCCACGTCGGCCAGAATTTGGTTGCTTCCATGCTCCCGTGTTGGCCCACTTTGAGGCCTCATGCAATCCATTTCCTCCGCCTGGACAACTCTTGCACGCTTTACCTAACACCTAATCGTTTTTCAGATCAGACCCCCAGTCATATCCTCGCAGCTCTCCACGGTAGCTCCCACATCAGGTGCGATCTCACACTTACAGTGATTCTTTTGGTCAGTGTCTGTTTCTACCACGGCTATAAAAAAACAACATAAAGGCAAGGTCAGGGTCTCTTCTGTTGGCTGTTGTGTCCTGAGTCAGTGCCAGGTAAACTGGAAGCAATACATACCTTGTTAAACAAATTAGTGACACGTGAGATCGTTGAAGGGGCTTTCCCTTTGTCAGGATGGAAAAAATTCATGCAATTGTGAATACTGATAAGGACTCCGTAGAGAGAGAAAGTTGAAGATGAACGAGAAACAAGTGAATAGCCAAGGAAGAAAGTGTTGACGGGCCAAGGGGATGAGAACCAGAGCACGAGAGACTGGTCTCCGACAGGCCACCTCTCTAACTAGCAGTCCCTTTCGGTCACCTTCTGGGCCAACTGTGCTCCCCAAGCGCTTTACAATCTGCCCCTTTATCACCATCCCTACTACTGCACCTGTAATTCAAGCCCACATAACCATCGACCTAGCTTCCCGGCTAGTCCGGTCGCTCTACCCACTCTGCAGCCTCATCCTGTGCCCGGCTGCCCGCCACTTTCACTTCCCGGAAGCTCATGCGGAAGTCCCGCGAACCCTCCTCTCGAAATCTGCCGAGCAGAAGACAGCCCTCCCTTGGCCTAACTCCGGGGCATGCTCCACGCTCAGCGCTTGGCAGCGACGCTCCCTCTGGGAAGCCCGCCTCCGCCAGCCTCATCCCTCGCGCCGCCCTGATGAAGACAGCCCGATGCCGTAGCCCCATTCTCGCGCGCGCTGTTTAAGACATTACCTCCTGCTTGTTCTCCCGCGCCCAGCTCGCGGGGGCACGCCAGAGGGCGTGGCTCCTGCCAATCTGGCAGCGAGCCGGCCGGACCAGCCAATAGGCTCTCAGCGCGCGCTAGGCCCACGCCCCCAACCCAGACCCGGGAGGTCTGAACGGAAGTCCGACCCATTGAGAACCCGGAGGGCGAGACCCCGCCCCATAGCCGACAGCCCGAGTCGCGCCAGGAGACGAAGCGGAAGTCCCGCGAACCCTGCTACAACTCCAGCGAGGGAAGCGCGGCGTCATGGCCGCCAGCAATCACGATGGCGCAGCTTCGGCTCCAGCGGCCTCTGGCGGTGAGCGGCTTCCCGGGGACCGCTTTAAACGCCTATGAGCGCCGGGACGGGGAAGGCCTCGTGCTCTTAGTCCTGGAGACAGACTTCAGGCTTCAAGAGCACTAGCTCTTGCCCGAGCCAGCCACGGGAAGACTACAAGTCCCAGTGTGCATCGCGGCTCGGCGGCACTATCCTGGCGTGTTGGGAGGTAGTCAGCGGTGGTGGGGCGTGCCGGGAGATGTAGTCTGGAGCTCAGAGCTGTTGATAGTTGTGATTCGGAGAGTGGGGCACGCTGGGCGTTGTGGTCCGGAGGAAGTGGGGTGTTATCAGGCCATGGGGAATATTGGGAGCTGTTGCCTGTGGCTTTGGGGGCATTGTGGGAACAATAGTGTGCAGCCTTGTGGGATATTAGAGAGCTCTGCACAAACTTCCCGCAGAGTATGGGAAAAGGAACCGCAAAGGTCGTGTAGCCCAACCTCCCCCTTGATGATTGTGACACTGAGGGGAAGAAATGTCCCCAAAGTGTCACATTAATCCCCTGGCAGACTCAGGCTTCCTCTGTTCAAATTCAGGGCACTGACCACTGGAAGGCCTGTGTATGGAACAAGAGGGATACAAAGACCCTGGAGAAAAGCCACCATTGGAAACTGCCCCTCCTTCCCCACCCCATGGCCTTGCTTGGTATCTGTTCCCATAGGCCTTTGCCAGAGCATAAATATTCACCACTCTCCCCCCTAGGTTGTGTTAGCAACAGCACAAAATCAGGAGAGGAGCTGGTAGTCCAGGTTCCTGTGTTGGATGTGCAAAGTGACAACTTCAAGGAGATGTGGCCATCCCTCCTGCTGGCCATTAAGACATCTAGCTTTGTGGCTGTGGACACAGTGAGAATTGGGAAATAGGGGGGTGGGTGGTTCTGAATGGGTTGGTGTTAGGGACCTGTCACAACCCTCCCTTTATGCACGCATAGGAACTGAGTGGACTTGGGGACAGAAAGAGTTTGCTGAACCAGTAAGTATAATCCCTGTTCTTTTTAGTCCCAACCCTGGCAAGAAGGGCAGACCTCAACCCTGGAGTTGGTGGGGGAAGGGGGTACTGTCACAGTCCTGGATAGTTTGGGTCTTTCATGAAGCTACCTCCTAGCCATAGCCACCCCCAAACCCAACCTAAGGTGCATCGAGGAACGTTACAAGGCCGTGTGTCATGCTGCCAGAACCCGTTCTATCCTCTCCCTGGGCCTCGCCTGCTTTAAGCAGCAGCCAGAAAAGGTATGGGCTAATGGCACCCCCCTCTCAGGTCTATGGCTAAGGGGAGGAGGGAGTGAGATCCTGAGGAACATTGAGTGTAATGTTTTTTCCTCCCAAATTTTGATATAGTAGACCCTCTTTTTCTTCTAGGGAAAACACACCTATTTGGCCCAAGTGTTCAATCTCACCCTGCTGTGCATGGAAGAATATGTCATAGAACCAAAGTCTGTGCAGTTCCTGGTACAGCATGGCTTTAACTTCAACCGGCAGTATGCCCAAGGCATCCCCTACCATAAAGGAAATGACAAGGTAGGCCTGCAGCTTCTCTAGCCTTGAGTCTATGTCTTCTGGGACTTCTCTTCCTCAGACGCTAGCTAGATGCCTGGGGAGAATCTGCTTCTTAGGGAATATGGGGAATCACTAGTTTCAGGGCTGGGGAAAGGTGACTGATAACAAAGGTTGGTAGCCCTGGCTTAGAGAGAGGGAGAGTTTTCCAGGTAGGGGAATGTTTCCTTCCCTATGACCTCTTTTCTCCCACCTAGGGTGATGAGAGCCAGAGCCAGTCAGTACGGACACTGTTCCTGGAGCTAATTCGGGCCCGCCGGCCTCTGGTACTACACAATGGCCTTATAGACTTGGTATTCCTATACCAGAATTTCTACGCACACCTGCCCGAGAGCCTGGGAACCTTCACGGCTGACCTGTGTGAGATGTTCCCAGCAGGCATTTATGACACCAAATATGCTGCTGAGTTTCATACCCGCTTCATGGCCTCCTACTTAGAATATGCCTTCCGGAAATGGTGAGAGAATGGTTGAGGGAAGGGTGGGACTTGGTCCAAGCCTATTTCATCCACTCACGATATTTATCGAGTGCCTACCATGTGTCAGGCGTTGTCTTAGGTGCTGAGGATTCAGCAGTGAACAGAACAAATACTGCTCTAGTGGCGCTTATGTTAATGGTTGTGCTGTTGCAGTGAGCGGGAAAATGGGAAGCAGCGGACAGCTGGTGGCCCACACCTTACCCTGGAGTTCTGCAACTATCCTTCTAGCATGAGGGCCCATATTGACTACCGTTGCTGCATGCCCCCTGCAACCCACCAACCCCATCCTACCAGCATCTGTGACAACTTCTCGGTGAGAGCACTTGGCTGGGCTAGGGAGGTTCCGATGCATGGATTCCCTTCCTAAGCCTCCCCCTTTTTTATCTCTAGGCCTATGGCTGGTGCCCCCTGGGACCACAGTGTCCTCGGTCCCATGATATTGACCATATCATTGACACTGATGAGGCGGTGATGGAGGACAAGCAGCGACGGCGACGACGAAGGGAAAAGCGGAAGAGGGCTTTATTGAGCCTGTCTGGAACACAGACCTCAGGGGAAGCCGAAGATGATCCTCCCACGAAGCAGGTCTGTGGGGACAGCCTCAAGACTGAGGAAAGTGAGCAGAAAGTGGCTGAGGATGAAACTGGGTGCCAGCCTGGCTCTGAGCAAGGCCACAAAACTGACTTGGAGATGGACCTAAAGGCATCAAGGCCTGAAACAGCTGATGTGCCTACCTCGGAAGTGTCAGAGAATCAAGCTGGTCCTAATCCAGTGCCTGGAGATGGATTGCATCGGGCTGGTTTCGATGCCTTTATGACAGGTTATGTGATGGCCTATGTGGGTGTGAGCCAGGGACCCCAGCCCTGCAGCTCTGGACCTTGGCTACCTGAATGTCACAACAAAGTATATCTGAGTGGCAAAGCTGTACCTCTCACAGTGGCCAAGAGCCAGTTCTCCCGTTCCTCCAAAGCCCACAACCTGAAGATGAAGCTGGCTTGGGGCAGCAGCTGACCTGACTTCTGCCTAACTCAGAGCCTAGAAAGAGAAGCTGAGGGTAAAACAGAAGCGTTTGAGTGCCTCTGGCCTGTGAATGCCATACGCTGCATTGCTTCTGGACTTTCTCCTTTGCCCCAGAGGCTGAAGCACAAGAGTACAAGTAAGAAGGCTGACCAGCACCTGTAACACCAACTTTATTTATTTTTAAATCTGAAAATGTCTTGGGAAAGTTTTACAAAAAAATCAACAGAAACAAGTTATGAAAATATTTGACCAACTTCATTCTTTGGTTATTTCTTATTGCAGCTCTGAAGACAGACTGTTCCCAAAGCTCCAGCCATAGCAGGAAGGGAAGAAAATCAGTCTATGTATAAACCATTTAACCAACTGGCTGTATCACATATTGACAAATACATAGAGCAGGCCCTGGGGCCTACATAGCCAGCCCCACTCCCAACCAAAAGGTTGAAAGTCTTATGAGGCAGAACATTAAGACTCCGTTATAAATACAGAAATAGACTAATCAATTGGAAAAAGATCTTTGAATAGGTTAGCTAAGAGCCATGACCACCACGCTGTCTTGCCCTCCCCTTGCATAGAAATGTAGTGATGTGGTCTGATCATGCAGTAAGTGCAAACAGCAATTATTCAAGTGTCTTAGACGTACTGGCAAGAAGCACCCCAGTGTTCAGGTCTGAGAAACAGTCATGGCCTTTATGGCCATCTGGTTAGTTCCAGGTTCCATCCAGTAGCTTATGTGCCCCAAGGAGGAGCAAGACCTGGGATGGATGAACTGGGGTAATAACTGCCTGCCAGCTCAGCCTAGAATTAGGAGTCCTGGTCCTATGTGGGGAAGTGCACTGGAAGGTCAGGTGGGAACCAGAGCTCCTTGCTGGATTTCAGAGGCTTGGTATCAGCTGTTGGCCCTAACTAGGAACACCTCTCACTGCTGTCTCCCTTCCTACACAGCCTTTGGGTTTTGGGAGTTCAGTAGCTGAGTGTGGCTTAGCCTAGCCTGGTGCTCTATGGGCTGTGGGGAAGGGTAGAGGCTGGGCACCAAGGAGGCCCTACAGCTTTAGCTGAAGGTTCATCCCCAAGGTGAGACAGGGACTAAGCCCCCTCATGCATCCTGCTCTCCCTGGCTTTTCAGGCCCATGCTTGAGACAGAGAGGGGGCCTGGAGCCAAGCCTCTTGGCCGTTGTTCTACCTCCATCTCTTCAGAGGCACCTCCATGGCATGGTCTGGTCCCTTGGGGCCTGGGCCCAAAACCATTTTCTTCCTGGGGATCGGAGCAGTCCATGGCTTCATGGGCCAGAGCAGCTGGTAGAGCAGATGCCTGGAATGGTGGGATCTCTCTTACTCTGTACTTCAGACTACTGAGGCGTGGTGGGGGCCCATCAGATAGCGATTCTTCTCGGCCCACAAATGGACAGGCCTCGCGATGCAAGAACTCAGGCGAACCAGGCAAAGAACATGACCGACGAGCTGGTAGAGCCAAAGGTTCCTGCCAGTCAGCCAGGGGCATGGTTCCAGGCCCTGGTGCATCCAGGTCAAATACCAGGGAGATGACAGACTTGCTTGGCAGGTCAAATAACTTGATCTTGCCACCCTTGAGGTCCTGGCGTGCACTGAAGGGGTTGACTTTGGGGATGCGGGAAGCACCATCTCGTTGTGGCTGGTAATAAGGGTCCAAGACGCTCACTGTATGTGGGGGTTTATGAGAGAAGATGTCTGAACGGCTTCGAGATAGACAGACAGTACGTCTTGGGCTT